ATTCCAGTGTTCGGCAATTTGTCTCCTTTACCAATAGACATAGCTAGAATGCGAATATTCTCTCTCATTCTTTTATAGATATCCGACCTCTTGACTCTGAATGTCAATTTTATTTATCTGTGATAATCATTCAAAGGAGATAAAACATTAATATACCTCCTAGAAAAACACCAGAGTTGTTGTATAATACATTAACCATTATGCTTAAGTCGTCTTGCAAATTGGAACTTCCCCTTGTGATTGCTTCTGAAAGGAAAATTCAGAGGCAAAATGGGATCCTATTAAACGGACGAGTCGTTATTTCTAAAGGATGAACTGTGCCAGTGAATGTTTGCCAATTTGACGCACTACCTTCAAAATCCCGCTTCCCTCCTCATCTGAATCCGAGTCGGCCAATGTGGACATTAGGAAGAAGCAGATTAGGATAAATCCAGATAAATTTTGTCGAAAAAATGGATAAGTTTATTTTCTTTCACACGAAGGATGATTAAGAAAAAAGGAGATTGCGTTTGTGCACATCTATTTTTACCAAACGGAGGAAAGTGGTATTTATAAGCTACTGTGCGTTTAGGCGTGGTTCAATGGAAGAGGCTGCAGCTATAGGAACTGGACAGGACTATACTGTCGTACGATATAATATGAAGAAAATTGATTACGATACGCAGACTTTCAAACTTAAAAGAAATTACAAATAAAGTGCCTTGGATCCTATAAAATCCATAAACATTTTTTTATCTGCTACCATATATCTCCGTCCAGATAAGCAAAGGGTGACAGTTTTCTTGTACGTTCCCTGTATAGAAATTTGTTTGAGAAATACTGTAGGCTCACTGAAGCAGACTTAGTAATATACTGGCGTTTGGGCGTGCTTGGCCTGTTTACAATTTCCAACGTGTTAACTGCTGTAAATCGAGCTAAAGTGGAAATCATGAGCTGTGACATAGATATCGGCGTCCAATTGATCGATTTGGTTTTAGTCTTCACCGTTCGAGACCTCAGTATATGAAAAAAATGTAACCGTGTGTCCGTCTTATTTCTCAACTTTGCAAACCGGATATCTCGCTTTTGTCAGTCTGAAGTGTTTATTTGCTGCAAAAATGGAGAGCAGCCTCCTTGACGTTTGCACCAAAGAGGTTTTTTTTTTACCAAAGCTGGCAAAAATGTGTTTTTTCCGTATGAGAATCGAGTAAACAAACGGATTCCTTGCGTTTTCAGATATAAGTAAGCCAATACGCTGGTGGTTTTTATTTAGTAATTTGATTAAGGCATTTTCGGTGGGACTGCATTTATTTAGAGCATTTGTGCGAGCGTTTTTCAACAATTTTTTCTTTCTTCTTTCTGTGCAGTCGAAATGTCACCATCAGTGGTGTATCCTGGCAGGATCCAAAGGCAATGCTAAAGTCGTGGAATGCACACTACGAAAAGGTTTACCGGAGCTGCGTACGCGCCGGACCAGATCGCTGCATGGCACTTCATTACGAGCAGTTGGTCTTGCGACCGCGCGAATCAATGCGGAAAGTTCTGCGTAAGTTCAGGCTGCGAAAATGCATGCCACAGAATTTCGAAAGGCTCGATAATCATGAAGGTTATAATAGGGTATTCTTATGACAGAGCTGTTTCAGATAGACACTGATAGAGCCTGCAGCAATTTACTACAACATCGTGCCTACCACAGTCATAGGGAGATAAGAGTTGTTTTGATTGTTTCCAGTAAGGAAGTGAACGCCACGGTTTCAAATATGCACGAAAAAAAAACAAATTCAAATCATATGATTTGTTCCATGGCCTTGATCAATGAACAAAAATGAAACGGTCCAAGGTCGTTATAGGGATAACACTATTGCACAGAATGAAAACCTCGAACGTCTACTGTAAACAAGAAAGCTGTGTATGTTCTAGCGGATACTAAAGCAGAAATGAGGGGACAGGATCCGAGACAGGGAAGTCTTGGAACTGTCGTAAATCTTCAGCATCCACTCTAGGCTGCGGAAAATGCAATGAAAACCATGCATCGATCCTTCTATAGGAGGTTGTTGACAAAAAGAAGGTAAACAAGATTCCACACGGATACCCTTAAGGAGCCGGAGATCGGAGACGAACGCACTAAGTCTGAACTCTCCAGAAAGGTCGATGACGACTGACGCAGTGATCTATGAGGCAAACCACCTCGCCACTCTTACATCTTAATGCGCAGCTGCTTAGTCACAAGCGCTTCCGAACCACAACGCAAACGATCACATTGTTTATCATGCTTGCGATGCGTCAGCTTATATCTATGAACGAAACTTGGCAACAACGTGTCAACTCAAGCTGCAGTATTGCAAATACGCCCGTATCCTTACTTCTGCTCCAAACGCCACTGCGTCCAAGGTAGTGACCAAACTCACCACCGGTTAACACACTCGCCAGGTCACGAGCGCCTCTGACCCACTCCTTCGACACCAAACATGGTTCAGCATGCGCGTGATGCAAATAAACACGAATCAGCCTCATCATTCATCTCTGAACGAAGTCAAGCAACACCTCCACCTGCAGGATGGAAAAACAACATTGTCTTCACCCCTGCTCCAACCGCCACTGCATCCTAGGCGCTGGCCAACCCTGCCACCGGTTAGCATACTCTAGAAGCCCCGTTGCCGTCGCGTACCGCCATTTTTTTATAGCTGCAGTAACCACAGTGCAGACGACAACCGCTAACACCGCTGTGTCCTACTCCAACCTCCAGTTAGACCACCTCTAACGTCCCACGAATCACAACCATCTCTCTCACGAGTTCGATCCGAATATGGACTCATTTTGACCGCACAGACACCTAACACAACGAACTTTTCGGCCACTGGAGTATAAACTGTATTGTGACCGGCATACCAGCGCCAGGTGCTTCAGCATATATTTATCGCATCCGTTTCAAAGTCCGCACTATCTAAGTTTATCTACTTCATGTATAGGGTCATGAGGCCACATTAGCCTCTAGGAAAACTTGCAACCGTCCACACCATATCAGTGCTCCTCTGCGCACCTAGATGATACATGACCATACCTAACAATATACCACACGCGTTTGTAGTCAACATCTATCACGCACTGCTGTGCATGCAGCCCGAATTGCACAAATGAACAGTTAAGTAACAATGAGAGTAACGCCACGCAGTGTAAGTAGTTAAAGGGAACGCCCATGAAGCTATGGAAATGCTGCGATGCTAAGAACGGAACGGAACGAGGTAATAAAAATCAAGGCCATGCCACTTTTCAGGAAAGAAAATCTCATGGTGCTCATCAACCGAAGTGTCATCTAGTGCACCGTATGGCAAATGCTGCATGCAAAATGCCTAAATTTATAAAATGTTGATCATTACTCGCATACCGGCATGAACGCATTAAGAAAACTTAGCAATAATAATGGACAGCATTAGGCACATTAAGTAATTAAAAGAAGTATGAGAAGAACGAAGTGTTTGTTAACAAAATAAAATTTTACAGATAGTCTCCAAGTTCCGAAGACGTAAAATAGCCAACAAATAGAGCAATAAATTTAAATCTTTACTTAATTTGCAAACGGAAAGTAACCAATTTCTTCGTGTGAAATAACATATCCTTAATCAACATTTTAAACACACTACCATTAATGGATAGCTATTTATTTAATATCATCCTTTAAATTCTGGCATAATTTCCAGCGTTTTCAGTGTCTTCATGTTTTTGTAAATCTATTGACGATCCGTTCAACGTTAATATCAAAACATTTAAAATAAGATGTATATCAAGAGCATTTACCGAAAAAATGGGTTTTTGAACATTAGTTCTTAGGAAGATGACCATGTGGACATATGTAAAAATGTCTCAAAACAGCATAAAGAACGTCTGGAACAGCATTCTGATATTGCTATTCCTTAGATTGATAAAAAATTACCTCTTTAGAACACGCTATCATTGGATATTCACCTGAGAAATTTCTGTGCATAGTAAATTCGTCCAAGGATATGCCAAAATGAAAATGGAGGTTTTTGAAAATGTTTTAAATTTACCTGAAGATAAATGATTCAGTTTAACCGGGAATGAAAGAAATCACTTTTTGCCATAAGGGATTACATTGAGGTTTTGTTCTAAGCTATCAACTGCAAAAAAGTATGACCTTATGTTTAATAAGATATTTAACTATTTATTATTCCTTTGTCTCTTCCATTTCTAAATAACGCATAAGCGGAACTTGAAGTTTAAAAAATTTTTATTTCTACATGACTTACATTTAATAAGGTCTGTTTTACATTACCTTCACGGCAACGTTCATAGACACTTTAGTTATTTTATTATTTGACTGTGCACCGATCTATCTCTCAGGATGTGCCCATCCTAGATTAATGATTTTGCGAGTCGAATCAACCAATTGTTTTCCGCAAAGCTACTAATAATTGATATGTTACTAGCCAACTGTCAGTAACACATCTACACATTTACAACCGGCAAGACATCGAGCTCGATTACTCAATAGTTAGGACGTCTGCCCCTGACCGGCGACGCGCGATTTCGAAACTCGGGTGCGGCGGCAATTTCAGCTGCTACACTAGAGT